CGGGTGTTCGGTCTTAGCTATTGGCTGGCCCAGGACATTGCCCAGTTACAAATTAAGGCTGATTGATCGCTGGTGTGATTTCCCGTAAATCAGGATGGGACGGATACTGATTCGTAAGCCAGGCGGGGAATTTAGCCCAAAGCCCCTTGGGAGCGGGGGGGTGGGGAAGCTTGGGTGCAGCTCTCAGCTGTACACAGCCAAGCCTCCTGCTGCATCTTTATGGGTCATGATAGAAACAGCACAGACACAAAATGTGCTCCACAGTTCACAAGCACCCAGCTTTCCCGGAATTGCTCATCTCAGTGGATCCTCAAAGTAACCCTTGGAAATAGGCCCGATGGTGCCCATTTGATAGTTAAGAGCCCTACGGCTGCCGGAGTTAGTGGTTCTTCCATTCTGTAACAGACAAGGAATCTGAAGCACCCAGTCCAGCGAGCATTCACCTTAAGTGAAAAACACAAAGCTGGGCTATATGTGTTGAGGCTGTGAGACGTCTCACCTGGCTGTGAGACCTGGCTTGCTGTGTGACCCTGGCAAGTTGCTTTCCCTCTCGGCACCTAGCTCCGCTCTTATGGTTGCCAGATAAAATACAGGAAGTCCAGTTAAATTTGAATTTCAGATAAACGAAAAAAAGTTTATTTGAAAATATGCCCCCCACAATATGGGGCCTACTTTTACTAAAAAAAAAAAAAAAAGTTTTTGGTCTTTTATCTGAAATTCAGATTTAACTAGACGTTCTGTGTCTTATTTGCTAAATCTGGCAACCCTACCTCTGCAAAACAAGGTGGTCTCTGATGACCTGATACAGCTCTGATGTTCTATGATCACCTCACTGCTGGACCTTTCCTATCTGGCACATTCTGGAAAGTTGGCTGCTAGCACCAGAACTGCTACTCTAAGGGGGTGACCAAGGACAGAAACGAGAGAGTATTTGTGTGGCTCCTTGGGGGTGGGGAGGGTGTCTTTGGTTGAAACAGCTGCGCACACAGGGCCACTTCTCCATCCCCAGCGCCCAAGGTGGGGCCTTCGAACTTGTGGGTCAGCCAAACAAAAAGAAGGTGATGGAAATCAACCTCATTCATCCTTTCATTAATTCTCATGACACCAGTGAAGTGGGTGCTAATATTAATCCCACCTGAAATCAAAATTTTAAAATATGAGACTCAGCAGAAATTATTTGATTCATCCAACATCACACAGCTGGTAAGTGACAGACCCAGGATGTGGACCACTTCTCTCTGAGCCCGAAATCCTGTATTAACCCCTATGAATTACTGGCACGTGCCAGGAGCTAGCCTAAAGCCAGCAGCAGAGTGAACATCCTGCGTCCAGCTGCAGGACTGTGGTGCTCCGTGGACCAGAATCTTCGCGTGGACCAGGACAAGTGGAGAGGTCTTCCCGACCTCCTTTAGGCATCTCAGCTCTCTGGCCAAAGCCATCTCTTCTGGACATTTAGAGGGTGTCTCTGCTTTGTGGATACTGTCCTGCCTGATGAAACTGGAGCGAAGCTGAAGTCCTTCCCCAAAGCAAATGGCCTGAGGTTGACTTAATCAGGTGTTTGCACAATTTCTCCTTAGTGTGGGCGATCTGATAGTCAATCAGCTTAGGGTTGTGAATTCAGTCCTTTCCCCACCATTGGGGGCAGGTCCTGGGTTTCTCTGCCATTAGAACCTTCCCTTCCAATGGGTGAGGAGGGATAAGCCCACAGGAAGCTCTTTCTCCGTGTCATATGTGTACATGACTTTTCTCTGCTGTGGGGGTTCCTGGTGGTGGATGAGTTCAAATTCTCACTAAAGCTCTTTCTGTACTCAGAACGTTTTTTTTTTTAGATGTTGGGGGTAGGAGTTAATTAATTAATTAATTAATTTTTGCTGTGTTGGGTCTTCGTTTCTGTGCAAGGGCTTTCTCTAGTTGTGGCAAGCAGGGGCCACTCTTCATCGCGGTGCACGGGCCTCTCACTTTCGTGGCCTCTCGCTGAGGAGCAAAGGCTCCAGACGCGCAGGCTCAGTAGTTGTGGCTCAGGGGCCTAGTTGCTCCGTGGCATGTGGGATCCTCCCAGCCCAGGGCTCGAACCTGTGTCCCCTGCATTAGCAGGCAGATTCTCAACCACTGCGCCGCCAGGGAAGCCCTGTACTCAGAGCGTTTTATCAGGTTTTTCCTCTTGGGTGAGTCTTCAGATACAGAAGGTACAAATTGCTGTGGGTGAACGCTTTCTCAAAATCTGTACACCTGTAGTTTCTCCTCTGAAAAAATTTGCCCCAACTTTGGAAATTGGGCAGAAGAATTAGGGTCACCAGATTCTCAGAAGACAGAGAATCATTTGGGTGATTATTTCCTCATTTCTCTCACAGATAGCACAAAACTAGAACCACTATAGATGCAGAGAGAGGTTGAATGATTATGTACAAAGAATGTCTTGGGCAATAGGGCTCAATCCTCTCTTCAGAACACTGGCTGAGGAATACCGTTCGAGGAGAATAAAATTTTCTTTGATTTCTTATTTACTATAGATCAGGGCCCAGAATCTAATGTCAGATGTTGACCTGCCAAAAAGGAAAAGATGCAAATATTTTTTGTCTGGGAGAGATGAGAGTGAAGTGGAAACACCTCTTCTGATTAGCCCTGCCAGGTAGACCAGGTGCACAAACTC